ACACATTTCGGGAGTTAGATAGGCCAGATCTTTAACAGAATATGCTTTTAATATGCATCTTAACAACAACAATAAAAACAGTCATGTAGACCATGCTACATACGGCTCGATTATGCATATTAATATTAGTAAGCCGATTTGCGGTTAAAATTAACTTGCATACAAGGTGTTCTTAAAAATATTAGCGCACCAAATTTATAGATAGTGTTACTATTGTGACTACTCATAATGGATGAAAAACTTTTCCGAATTTCCCACCTCTTACATCAATATCGCAAAGCGTAACAATATCAGCAAGTAACCCACCGATGAAATCTTCGCATCTGCTAAAGGAAAGCTTGCCACAACGTCATATATTCGCAACCCAATATTGGTACTAAGAAGGGTCTAAATACGCGTGGTAAGAGAAATATTGGAATTTTATTTTGTTGAGGACTATATAATTTATTTGTAATAGGAATCGACCGTTACTCATCACACTCAGACTCAGAACTAATCGCTAATCTCTCCTAACCTTTAAATTGCATTGCAGCACTACTCAAAGAGGAACGATTGATGCGCTTATTGCAAAAGGCCGATGGTATTCGTATGAATTCAAAGACAAAATGTCCATACCTAATGTAAAAGGAAGTAGCTTGAAGATATCAACTTATTCTAATGGAGTAAGTTAGTAGTTGTGTAAAATACTTTCCGTTATTATTAGTCTTCTATGTGTCCCTTTATACTGCCGTAAAACACTATATTCTGGTAGACTATAAGTTATAAACTAGACAATACTTGAGAGCACTTGTTAACTCAACCTAAAAGCGACAGCAATGCATGGTGCAAGTTTTCATAATTTTATTGAGGCGATTAGGAACCAGAATTAATCCCAAAATAAGCATATTATCATTTTGTGTTTCCCGATAATAAAAAGTCACTTTAAATTATTTAATTAGTTGCTTTCTGAAGCCTCAGCATTGATGTCATCTAGATCATAGTCGCTTTCCCTGAATAGAAAATATTTTTTCCCGATTTAGATTATAAAACATTTAAATATTATCTGAGTCCCAGATACATTTGCATTATGATTAGACAAAAAACAGATCTCTTACGCTCTTTGGCACTATACTCTGATTCTCATAAGATGATCTGAATCGAAGACTTGCTTGAAACATAGCGATGACGAAGGTGAAGTCTATATTGGCTAAGAACCCAGGATAATTCCGCGAAAAAGGCAGATTTTCACTTCATCGTTTACTCATTGACAACCGAAAAGGAAAAGTACCAATAGATCCATAAGCTTTCCCTATTGGTAAAGCCTACCTACTTAATAATGCGATAACATCAATAAGGCATTAATAATAGGTCGCAATATTAAGAGGTTTTCCATTATAATTTCCTCGCTCACTAAAGTTTGAACTTATCACATTTCAAGATTCATAAGAAATATTTCGTATATACTTACACAAATTACTCTTTTTTAGTTGATCTTCGTTGAGTGCCGCCATCTTTTAAACCCAGACCATGAAGCGAATAACGGGCTTATTCATTATCTTGACGGAGTAAGACCGTTATGATAAACATTTGGATAATTTTTATAATTAAATAATAGGTTTAATCATGTAAACTACCGTTATATATTGTATACTATAGCAGTGTTGCTACATCAGTGTAGACAAGAGATAAGCAGCTGTCTATGCGATTCTGCAAAAACTGTTTAAGTTTACCAAACAAGGTTAAATGTGCTACACTTATTCGAAATATTTGTAAAAAATCTAACTTGCTAGTGTTCGTGACTTGGTTAAAGCTGTAATTATTCGAGCTTTCTCAGTATATACATAGTCTCATGTAATTTGGGGATTTCATAAATATCAAACCAGCTATTCAGATACTTCTAATAACCTGCGCTCATGATTACCCATAAAGTGGCCCTAGGTTTTAGACGCCGGTTTGCTTTCCTCCAAATGCCAGGATGACTAATTACTCTATTAAATGTTTTTAAAAGAATATTTATATTTAAATGTATATGCAACTAACTGTATTTTATTTATATGTAAAGATTTGCGGAGGATACTAATCATTGATATTTTCTTATTTCTCAAAATATAAAAAAATATACGTCAGACAATCCCAGGGACCTTCCTTTACTCAAGCATCATGAGTCGTCTTCAGGCTGTCTTGGATGTGAGCGATTTCCTATCAGACCTGCCGAGTGACCTAAAGAGCACACTTGGATATTCGAAAGATTCAGACACAGAGCAATGGTATACGGTTTTCGCTCCTACAAACAATGCCTGGAGGAAAGCCAAACATGGACTGAACAAAAGTCTGGTATATATATTTAGTACACCTTATCAACTTGGCCTTACATAAAGAATCACTCTTGTAAAGGTTATTATTATGCCATAATATTTTAATTAGATTATAAAAAATATTTTTATTGATATTTAGGCACAAAATGTTTATCATATGGACAAAACACAAACGATGTAAAGGTGGATTAGTTCATTCTTTACTATATTAATATAATTTAGTGTATAAACATTCGACTTCCGAATGTTAAAAGTACCAAATTTGAGTAAAGAGCTAGACAAGTGATTGGCATTAGGAGATTAGTCGATAACTTTTGCAATTATTTCCTTACTATCAAACAAATAATGAATTAATGAGGGAATAGGACAAATAAGAGTGATGTCTTTGATAGGTAGGCTAATCTAACACAATACTGCATGGGTTTCTCTGTTCTTTTAATAAATATAGTCATAATTAATAAATGCGAGATACTCTATAAGTATTTATTTTTAAAAATAATCTTTAAGATTGAAGCTTTGGCAAGAAATCATGTTTTGGATAGAATGATCTGTTCTGGGGCTATCACGCGCAACTCTAACTTCTGTGGTCCAAATTGGGCTGACAGCTGCCTGAGCATGGGTGTCAAGCCTTCTGGAACAAAGTATGTTGTAGACAGATGCGGTAGCGAGGCCAGTATCTTAAAACCGGATTTGATGGCGAGAAACGGTGTGGTGCATGTCATCGATGGAGTGATATTTTCTCCAGAATGTGAGTTCCTTAAAGTTGCTAACAAGAATGAAAAAAAAATTTGATAAAAGCAATGCATTATTTGTTATTTATTTAAAGATGTATACAAATGCTGTAATTGCCTAGGAGTAGATCAAATGTTCCAAATACACTTCGAGCTTAGCTAAACTATGCTATAACTTCATTGTAATACTAGATTTACTTACTTCCGCAACCAACTTCCCAGTATCAAATAAGTTATACCATTGAAGAAACACAAAATACATTTTTACCGGATACATCCCCTTATTAGTTATTGAAAGCGTGGCTCCCTTAGAAAGTCATAGTTTCTCTCGCAGTTCTCATCCAGGATGGACTGCAGTTTCTACTACTAGTCCTTCCACACCTTAAACGAAATAGGGTGAATACATCTGATAGAATCAAATTAGTTTAAGGCATATAATTTTGAAAGCAAAATAAGAGAGGATTTATAATCAGAATTCATGCTTTTCCTTGGAGCATACTTGGAAGTTCATCTATCAAACTTCGAAATAATGGACGTCATATGAGAAATTTTCATTCAAAACGCGATTTCGAAGAAATGTCTTAGCATTTAGATTATTATTCTCCTTTTGTTTATGCACATCAAATAATGCTTATCAAATTCACCAACCCTGGATCACCTTCTAACAAAATTAGGGATCCAGCATCAAAAAATGTCAAATTCTCAAGTAAAACATTCTAATGCTGAATAGGAGATAATTAATATCTAGTTATGTGACATTAGATGGTCCTAATTAGACCAAACGGTTCAATACATCCTTGAATAGCAAGATCTTTAAAGACCAAGACCTCTAATCTCCAAATTTCTGTTAATGTATAGTCTCTTTGATAGAAATAGAAAATTTTCTGTTGCGATTACTTTCATTACGAGTGACAGTGTTGGGTAAATAGATTCGAATGTCGGTTCCACCAGAAAACGATTGCGGATTCCTCTTGACCAGCTGCCGATTGGCTTTACTGGAAGATTCCTGCTGACTCAGTTTCTAAGGCAATCTTCTTCGATTCCGGTAAAAAGGTGCTAAGCTTTCGTTCGTCCTATGACGGACATCATCAAAGGTAACATCGCCACGACAAAATTCAAGCTAACGTGTCAAGAAAACTCACCGGAAAATCCCACAAATAGTTTTTACATATCTCCTTGCTGGTATCCTTACATTCTATATATTTCATATTCGGTTTATTTCTATGGCTTCTGTAATTATATGTTTAGCCGCGAACATATGATAATCAGCAAAACAACAAGTTTGAGACCATTCAACCTTGTGTCATGTTTCTTCCCTAAGCTCAGCCACTCTTTGTCGAATGGGACGAGAAGTCTCTCCAACATAAAAGCGACCAAATGAACACATTATTTTGTAGCAACCCGATCTGGATAATGGGTCAAATTTCTCTCTAAAAGTAGGCATAACTGAAGAAAGTGTCGTAGTTTCCTTGAGGACCGTTTTTATTCCCCACTTCTTTACTTGTTCACCACCTTTTGGAGAGAACGCAAGAAGGTAAAGACAAAACATGAGAAAAGGTCTCCTTATCTCTATTCATGTATTCACCATTCAAAAAGCTATTCTTTATTAATCTAATGTTATTTTCAATCAAGCCTAGGGGATAAT